TGCTAGAACGAAAGATCAGCATCTCTTCTCTGCCTTTGTGTATTTTTTCCCAAGAACCTAAACAATCTCCGTGAGGATGGATGCAGTTTACTGTGTCACATAAATCAAATCAAAACAAAACAAAGCCAAAACAAACCTAAACCTAACTATTTCTGTTAGCTGAATTTTCAGATGCATACTACACTCACCCAGGGTATATCATTATCATTTTCCATGCTCAGTTTCCTAAATTACTATGCTGTATCATCTATTAACTTTCACCTTCTCATTCAGTCTTGGTGTGAGAATAACAGTACATTATCAGTTCTTGAAAATACAATAAATGTTAATTCCAGTGTACTGATGGACCTTGATCCTAATGTGCAAAGCTTTATACACAACCCTCAAACAATGAAACTGTACCTAGATGACTAGGGAATAAAAGATCTATTGTACTGACACTTCTGTGTGAATAAAGGTTATATCAGAAACTTTAGAAACACTGATGGTTTTTGGCATATTTAGAGGCTATTTAAATGTAATAATCAGCAGCCTATAATATCCAAGATTTATAAATACATACAGAAACATAATTAAATGCATGGGATCTGAAAGGAAATTATACCAAAGTCCAGAGTCTAGGACACTTTATAAACCATATTCCTTTGAGAATCTACGAGGGGGGAGAACTACAAGGTTGAGCAGAAGGGAATGAAGAAAAGATGTTTTCTCTCTCCTTGCTGATACTTCTCATGGGAAAGCTCTTTGCTAGTCTGGTTTTTTTTGACCACCTACTGGGAAGAGCAGCACAACCCACAGTGCCGAGTGGGAGCAGAGGTGGAACCTCTTTGGGGTTCTTCATGTCAAGAACCTGCACGTGATGCCTGTCACTGTGCCAGAAAGGCATCTCCACGGCAGAGCTTCCTGATTCATACAAGTTGCTCCAACGGACACATTTCCTCTTTGATTTATAGTTGAAATAATTAAGTATTTCTTTGGAAAAAAGTAAATTTGCACTGAAGTCTCACATTGGTGGCATTAAGACATTACCTACATTAACGAGATACTGGGGGAGAGGGTGAATAGAAAGATTGATTAAGAATATCATCACCTAGGGGAAATAATTTTGAAGTCAGTTGATATTTATAGTGATTAAGCAATTGTCTGAGGTTTTGATCCTTCAAAGAGGCATGAACATAAACTTTAAATCTGTGACTTGTCACACTGAAGACAGTTCTGTGACTACAAGTGACATTGCTTTTATGTTAACAATCATCATACCTAAAGTTAGACTAGGGGTTTTTTTTTTTTAAGCTTGGGTATGCAGATTCCTTCTTCTCCTGTAAAAAGCCCAGATTTGCTATATATTTGAGCTGACAGAGCTAAGCCAGTTATCTGAGGCTGTTGTACAGTAAAATCGTTTTTTGCTGTTGACATTGATTAATACAGTGAGTTCCCCAACCAGCTAAGCAGCTGATGGTTGAGAGAAATGCCATGTTTAAAGCACCCCTTTTGTCTTATTGCCTGTCTTTGTGCGATGTCAAGAAAACAAAAAAAAATTTGGTGCCCATCCCATGGTCCCATCAGTTATATTTTCATATCTCCATTTAAAGAAAATAAAATATCCCTGCTGAATGACCTGTTTTCAAAATAAAGAAAGGAGATCGCATGAGAAAAACTATTACATTGCGGAGACCCCTCTGGAGCATGAGAGATTTGGACTGGAGCACAAAATGGCATTTAAGAGCCACAAGAGCTCACTCTTTACTAAAAGCTCAGCTCAGAGTATAGTGCTCCTGTCCTTTTTATCCATCAACCGAATTGATCACAATGACCCATAAAACAGTTATCAGCACCTATAGGGCAAAGACGCCCTGGGCTACAATTGGTACTTACACCAATTGCACGCTTAAGCCGCGGTCTGTAAAGGTACGTCTCCTCTCATGCCACTCAGAGGGAAGCTGCTGGAGCTGAGCTGCTCTGCTGCTTCAGGAAGACTACCCCATCAAGAAGGACGTTACAGGATCATGCCCTTATTTCAGCAGTTTGGACACATCTCTGCAGAGAAGAGTAAAAGGCTGTATTTCACAGCTGTGATATCATTCTCATGAGCTATATTTCAGCATGAGCCACTATAAAACCTCTCCCATGACATCAGAGCTGTGAAATATAGCTGACTTCAAGTGCAGAAAGTTCCCCTGCAGGAATAATTGTTTCCTGGCAATTGGCATTCGAAGGACTGATCCTTTAGAAGGCTGGCACAAATCCCATCCAGGTAATGCTGCTCCAGGCAGCGCTGCTCAGCAGATGTTATGTGCAGGAGCAGAGGTATGGAGCCCCTATAGCCATAGGGGTAGTGAGGTGAGTGCTGGGGGAGCCTGTCAAGTGGTGATTTTCACTCCCTCGCACCTCTGCAATCCATGCAGCTTTCATTAATAGCAAAATAATAGGCTTGCTTGTATGCTGTGCTCACTGTCTCGGACCCTGCCTCCCCAATAAGGCGAGCCACGTGCGCACAGCCAGAGCTACCATCTCCTCCATCTTTTCACGTCTGTATTCCAAGCACAGATCATGACGGGCGTGCTATTACACGGCAGCTTGCCAGGGTTGCCACTGCCCGGGGCACTAATTAACTCACCTGGGCAGGTCCCAGCCTCCCCTCAAAGCAACCTGTCAAGAAAATGGAAGTCAAAAATATTGTGTGAGACATAATCTCCTCTTTCGTATCACATCAGGGGAGATGCCAACCAGAACAGACTCCACTCAGAGCTGGGGGATTAGGGGAGTGGATGTTGGCAGAGCTGTAAAGGATGAGACCCTGCCTGGGTTGGAAGAGTTCAGGAGGAAGATAACAGATACTATAAAAATGGGGAGACAATTAAAGCCACCTCAGCTCTCCCTAGGCTGGTGCCTGAAGCTTCCTGTGTCCTCCTCCAGCAACCTGCGTATTTACTTGCTGGTGCTCCATCAATCATACAGAAAGCAATTGCTGAACACATCCTAAAGCTTAGTCACACTGTCTTTTTCTGTTCCTCTTCCCAGGCTCTTCTGTGAAGGTCTTCTTGTGGTGAGCAGTGGGTCCATTCTTTCTGTTGTATCTCTGTGTGTGTGTGTGTGTGTGTGTGTGTGCGTTTACATGTACGTGCGTATGTATACGCCTGCGTGTCTGTGTCTGTCTCACAACACTCAGCCCTGCGTGGACGCAGCTCCCATGACCTGCAGGACAAAGCTGGTTTTTACCTACAGAAAGTTCACTGGTGTAATGAGAGCTATCTAGAAACCTTCTCCAGAGGAAACTACAGTGATTCAGAATTAATTGTACCTTTCTCATTGTTCCTACAAATGCTAAAAAACTGACTCCTTCCCACCCAGAAGTTAGCTTTTTGTGATGTTTTAACTTGTGAAGCAGTAAAACAATATCGTTTGAACAGCCCCATTCCAGTACACACTATCCATCTAAAAGCTAAATGGTATTTCTTTATAGAAAATTATTTCCTAAGAGGAACTGTAAGAGGCTTGAGGTTATTTTATACAATTTATTATTAAGTACAATGACAACCAGAAGAGTAGCTAACTCAAGGCATTGTAAATGCTTTAACTCTGTCAGCATAGCTCAAAGGCTAAATTCTGCCTGTTTTACACCTTTAAAAAAGCCCCACACATAATGTAAGGAAAAAATTGGCCTTTGACATGGAATATTATCCAAATAGTGTTCTGTGGAAAGCTTACAAAATAAAACAAACAAAAAATTCTCTTTTCAATTTGGTTTAGTCAGACTGTCATTCCACAATCTTTATTTAACAAATATTGAGAGCTGCTGTGTTGAATTTTGAGCAGGTTCAGAATGATTTATGGGTTTGTTTTTTTTTGATCAGGCTATTGAAAAAAATAACTTTTCCAAAGAGCATCTCTGTGAAACCAAATCAAATGATTCTAAGAGTATGGATCTGTTTGAACTAAAAATTTAACAAAGTGTTTATGAAAAAAAAAAAAATGTCGTGGAATGTTTCTGTCAACTAATTCTGATTTCTTCAGATAATAAAATATTCCAAACCTGTTCATGAGGTATTTTTCATGACTGGGTAATTGAGACACATAATATAATTAATTCTTCCTGAACAGAAGCTTTCAACTTTTTTAAGAACAGAAGAACTGTCCACACTACACTGTGGTACTGCATTTCATTATGAAAATCATTCAATCTTCAGAGATAGGGATAATTTTTGTAATTATTTTGTAGGTGCATGGATATTTAGTATTAATAACAGTAGGAAGGAGCAGCTAGTATGAACCCACAGTTAGGGATGAACTAGCTGATTTTGTTTATTTTTAGAAGCTATTAGTGAAAACATTTACATACCTAACTATGCACTTAAAAGTTGCAAAATTCAGTACAAGTTACCTCTGGCATTAGGTAACTGAGGAAACCAAAATGTCCGCTTAACTGCCTATGAAGTATCGAACAGGTCCAGTATGTAATGTGGGATATATTGAGAAATGTGCACTTTTTTTCACTAACCTGTTTATCTGAGCCTTCCTAAATGAATTCAAAGGCAAAACTCAAATGTGAGGGAAAAATCCTGGAGTTATCCAAGTCCAGGCTCTTCAGCCCATAACTATAGCAACGGAATGCCTTCTTGGGAAGACAGTGTGCACTCTTGCTAGCCCTTCTTCAATGTAATAAAGTAACTTCATCAAGATCACCCGTCAGAAACTAATCAGTTAGATCCCAAAGTTCAGGCAGAAGAGAAAAGCCTGGTTTGTCTTAGTCCATGAGTAGAAGTAAATGGAGTTAAACTGGGAGGGGGAACCAACACAAACCCAAAGATCAGGACTCCTTCCTCCTACTCAATATAGATTCTCTCATATTATCTGAAGGACCACTTGCAATGTTTTGAACCAAAAGAGTCCAGCTTTTCAACAGTCACTGTTACTCTTCTACTTTTTGGACTTATTTGCTGTAGTGATGAACGTTAAGTGACTTTGAAAATGCCTAAAAAGCTGTTATTTTTCTTTTCAGAGATCTCTTGAGACTGCAAAGACTGTTTAAAGAAGGAAGACGGCATGAGATTGGATTCAGTGCAGTAAAGTAGGTTAGTTTGAGGACAAGAAAAAAAGAGTAATTATTTAGATCTTCTTGTGTTGCCGTGATGAGAACTTACCATTGTTTCTGGCTGCTGTTTTGGGCTGGTCAGCCCCACCAAAGTTTCTTAACCCCATTATCCAAAAGGACTAGTGGCTTTCCAGAAAAGGAAAAGGTTTTGGTATTGTCTGGAAACAGCAGGCAAGACCTCCATCGTTCCAAAAGGAGCTGGATGTGGAATCAGTTCTTTTTATTGGAGGAATACACAGGAACTGACTACCAATATGTTGGCAAGGTAAGATTCTTTCATATGTGCCTGTTTTGATTTTAGAAGTACTAGAAAGCCAGCAATAGAAAGTAGATAAGAACAATACCTGCTACAGCTGTTAGTTCACCTTCCTGTCTGCCCAGCTTCAGCTAAGGAGCAATTCAGTAGAAAGGCTGGTACACTTCAGCTTCAAATTGTTATCAACAACAGGAAGTTCCTCGTTTAACTGGCAAGTCCCATGGCCAGTCATGCATGGTTATGTTAAAGATTTTCCTTCTTATTTTTGTCTGGAAAAAATGCAGCTAAGTTATAGGGTTGAGTAGGCCAGATTTTTAGGTTTAAAATGTAATCTGCATTTTCCCTCATGCTCATTAATTTTGCTAGAAGTCGAACTATATAAAATGGAAGAGGTTTTGGTCCAAGATATCTAGGATTCACAGTACCCATATTTTAGTGACGATTCTCTCTACCCAGCAAAAGGCAACCATTTCCCTTTTTATTCTCCACTGCACACAACAACACTGCAGCCATTGTCTGATGAGGTTTTGTGGTGCCACAGAGGATACTGTGACATGATCATAATACCACAAGCCATGCTATTACAATGAGTTGAAGCACACTGTGCTTATACACTAAGAAGCAACAGGCAGCTGAAAATTTCTAATCTCAAAGCATGCTAACAGTTAGGAAAGGGTCTGTAAAAATAATAATTAAAAAAAAAAAATCACAGCTTAACTCTGAGAATATTCACCTCCCTGAGCAGGACAGCCCTATGTAGGTAACAACCTTTACGTGAATTGTAGAGCTAATGCACCCGTGGTAAGTCTAGAGAGAGTCCACACTGGCCAAGGTGCCACAGTCTATAGGAGTGTCTCTGGCAGAATGCAGAAGTTATTCTATTGACAATGACATTCAAAGCAGAAATAATACAGCTTAGTTTTCCAAACTAAGATAGGGTTGTGTCTGAACTAGTTTGATCTTTCAAGCCTCTTAGCAAAGGCTGCAGATCACAGTGGTTTGACATTTTATCTCCCTCTGCAAGCTTCTGAGCATTCCCATGAGAGATGGTGGCTGCTTTTCTTGCCTGCCAATCAGCTGTCAGTCAAAGTTGGATGTGACACTCCTTTCCTGCTAAATGGCTGCGAGGCATGATTCAAATGAAGAGCTACGCGGCTGGTATAATACTCATAGAGCTCTGACCAGGATAATCAGCATTCATGAAGGGTACCATTGAGTCCAATCTACAGGAAAAAGCCAAAGGCAGAGAGTCCTCAGAGAGGAGTAGAGGCGGAAGATAAGAGGTAAGAAAGAAAAGCCAGAAGAGAGTAAGAAGGAAGAACTAGAAAGACAGAGGTGGATGGAGGAAAAACTTTATAAAGAGAAATCAAAACAGAGGAGAGGAAAGGGATATCAAATTGGGGTAGAGGATAGGAGTCAGGAGAAAAATGTTACCTAAATAGAGCACAAATTAAAACATAAGATGAGACATTGAAGGAAGAAAACAACACAACACCCCCAAAACCTCACAACAGGTAAGAAATACAGAGTCAAGGAAAAAAATAGAAAACAACAGACAGCCGTCCTCCACACACTCCCCTGTTTCACAGTCTGCTTAGGGGGTCAGGGTAATGGGGATCTCTTTCTCAAAAGATAAATCCTGTGGTGCTGAGGTGAGTCCTACAGCCTGTCATTTTCAATGTGAATTTTGAAATTAAGTCCCCCATTGTCTCTGCTGCAGAATTTGAGTAGAAGCTATTGGCTTCAGAAGGCCTGATGGAGGAGTGAATATTCCTGCAGGACAGGTTTGCTGAGAGACAGTCAAAAAATGGTCTAGTTGGACCAGAAACTGAAGAAAGTTTGAGCTGGAGTCATTGAGAGAGGAAAAAAAAAAAAAGCGGATGTTATTTTTAAAAGTTGTTCTTCTGCCTATTGGTGCTTTAACACAGTTACTATTACAAAGCATAGAAATGACACATAATGTATAAATGTCATTGATTCTGTGTCCCTGGGCTGTTCACAAGTGGCCTTTCACACATCTTTCAAATGCCAGAATTGCTCACACCCTTGTAACTGAACAATTAGCCAAGAGGCATGGAAGAGCAGCCATTTATTATTAGAGAAAGTTGAGTATTGGTGTGAGGATAAATGATAAAAACAGCTGAATATCTCCAAATTAAGGTAACCAGGCAATTTAACTGAGCAATTAAACTTGATTGGTGTGGACAAATGAAGATAATGAACATGTTTATGAAGCATATTTTTTCTCAGAGGACTAAATGTTAACCTTAGACATGAACTGAAAATGGTAAGAATGTTTGGTTATAGTCTTTTTATTCTCTTCTATCAAAGAGAAATGTGAACAGGAAAATATTTTAAAACAATAGCAATATATGTACGTAAAGGGGAATTGTGCTTATGTCTTACTGTATAAGCTGTCAGACCTGGATCTTCTGGGCTTTTTTGTGTTTAGTGGCTAAAGCTGGTGGGCCTTAACATCATAATTATAAAAAAATTATTCCATATAAGCTACAAGAAAAAAAATATTCTACTTGGGCTGGTTTTATTTTTGTCTTTTCATTTGTTAACAACTGTCTAATTCAAACATCTACATCAAAATTTGAGATACAAGAAGTCTGTTGTGAAAGATTCCAACAAACAGCATTATTTCTATAAACTACCCAAATTACAGTTGTAAAATCCTGTAACTCTTTATACTACAAAAAACACATTTATGTCATAATATTTTTAAAGAGAAGGGGAAGAAAAGTGAAGGGGAATGAATTCAGGTTTGAGCTAAAAAAAAATAAAGGTAATTTCTCTGGAGATACAGCCTAAGGAAGTACTGAAGAAAATGCTGAAGTACCTCATCTGAACCATGGACCAGAGAACTACTGTGTTCCACACCCTGTGTACTGTATGTCCAATGAACCCAAATGCTTTCCATCCTTTAGCAGATAAATGCCTAAGCACATATGAAACAAAGTAGCCCTTTTTGGTACCCGTGGGTACCGTCAGCTATTTAACAGCGCTGCCCAGTTTTGTATGCTACACACTTTACTGTCATCCCAAATATGCTGCTGTATCACACTGGACAAGAATATGGAGCTGCACGCAAGACTCTCCCCGTATTATCAATACAAGTTGATTGTATGCTGCTAATCTCACACCAAAGCCACCATTTTATTATCCAGTTCTTGTATTCCTTAATTTAATTCCTGTATATTCATGGAATAACGCCTTTTAAAAAGCATAGAAATTCACACCTCCAGTCTTGGTTAGTCTCAAGACTTAATAATATAAGGAATTTGCAGAAAAGTTCTAGACTGGAATTATTCATGGCACTGCTGAATGACTTGCTATCCACTGAAGTGTGATTGATGGGCACTGTGACATTTTAACCTGAAGATATCTTTTCTTCTGCTTCAGAAATTATGGCACTTGGCAGGGACTCAATCCCAAAATAAAAGGATTACATGAGCATCAAAGTAGAGAAGTGCCCAGCACTACTACCTAGTGAAAATCTGCAACATTTGAATTGGGTTTTAAAAGAGATCTAGTTGCACCTGTGGCTGCTTAGTACAATTTTAAGGGACTGGGGTGAATGTATCTCTAAATCACAGGTAAACGATGAAGTGGTAGTGCAGCTGTATATAGAAATATATGCTACACTCCCAAGAGATCTTCAGATATTTAGGAAAAAGAGTAAAAAAAATCTACCCTGTTCCAAGATTATACTCAAAGGTATAGTTACCATTTGTATGCACTTGATGTCCTTCCACGGCTGTCCCATTGGCTGCATAAAATCCATGTACTGCCATCCATCACTGAGTGGTCTTGTCAGAGCACAAACCTACAAATCATTGTTACATAAAGGGATAGGATGCCTCTTTCTTTTGGACTAAAGAAAGATCTGAACAAGTCTTAAATCTTACTCATTAACCTAGAAAGAGCTTCTGGCAGCCTGCAGTGGAAAGGAGCAACTTGCTTTTCTGATAACAACAGGCACAACCGTTGTATGGTTTTGTCCCACTCTTTCTGTCTGGCACTAAAAGGAAACTTCCAGACATACTTTTCCTTTCTCCTGTGTCTTATTGATGTTCATATAGTTCAAGCAGTATGCTTGCCTGGAAGCTATCTGATGTTCCTACCTGTACAACTCATCATAAACAATCATCCTCTGCTGAAAACTCCATTTTTCAAGGAAGATAAAGTCAAAGTCTTGCTGCTGTGTGGCTTGGCAAAGCAGAAAGGATACTGCATTACTCTAGGCAAATTCAGAATCCTTTGGTGTTGAGAGAACCACTGGGGAAGAGAAGTTCCCCTCTGTCAGGAATGGTTTAAGGTACTGTTGATCATGCTTTGGAGGAGGAGGGGATGAACTAAATGATATCACAATATAATTTCAGTACTGTTTTTCTTTCTTTTACATTATTTTACTTCTGGTTGCAACTATTCTGAAGGCAAGCAGATCTGTCCTTTGCAGTATATTTCACCAGAAGCAGATCAAACAAAAAGTAGAATCTCTCCAAACCATTGCAAGTAGTGGGACTAAGTCACATACTGAGAGAAAAAAATCTGTGAGCACACACAAGGGGCTATTTAAAAAAGGGAAGTTATTGTAATGTAATACAGTCCATGTATTTTCAGCATCTGAGGCAGTAAAGTCACATTACTCCAATGGTTAAAAGGTATCGTATCTTAACTGTGTTACATGATAACTAGCAAGAGAAACATTCACTTTCTCTCAGATCTTTAATACGCTAGCATTCTGTACTCATCATCAATGCTTTTCTTCCCCCAAAAAAGCAAGATATGAAAAGTCAAACTAAAATTACTCTTCCCATCTGCACTTTTAACATCCTTTTTGCAGTTTTATTGGCAAACACTTGCTCAGTATCTGTATTCTTTACCTTCTATCTTGCACTGTGATATACAGCTGATGCCTTCAGTTTCCTGTTCCAAACACAGTGACTATTTGTTATCTTCACGAGGCCTAAAATTAAAAGTTCCACTTGTGCTTCTGTTTA